GTGAATGTTGCTAAGGCAGTATGTTTCTGTGATGGGGGAAAAAAAAACAAGTACAGTACTGACATTTAATCTTGTTTGACGTAACATCAAGTAAGGAGTGACGATACTAGGTGGGTCCGGGGGCATGCTCCTACAAAAAATTTTGAAATCTTGACCCTCTGAAATGCTATTTCTTGCATTTTGAGTGGCACATTTTGCTGGCAGACTAAGCTTAGTTTAATGACATATGTTTCCATATCTTTACATGCGAATTCTTATCCATTAAAATGACAGATTGGGCAAATTTTGATAGCCTGGTTACCAAAACGATTATAGCTCCCGAGTTCTACATCCTATTTGCAGAGAGGATGTAGGACTCGGGAGCTATAATATTAATAGGTTTGGTAACCAGTCTAAAATTTCGAGCCCTGCTATAGCAAATTTCATGCAGATGAAAGCCAGTTTTCTCACCATCCTGCCCTTGTCTGACATACACTTGACGCTCTCGGCACCAAAGTGTTTCAGCAGGCCCTCCCTGTCTGCAATACTCAGCTCAGCAGATAGGTGGCGTACTATGAGCGTGTTCGATGTCTCCTCATCAGGACCCATGTTTATGATGCTTGATATTGAATCCCTATACGACCTGTGTTAGAGTATGCAAATGTCGTGTACGTGGGCTGTAACACAAAACAGAACAACACTCTTGAGGCTGTACAGAGAAGGGCGGCGAGAATCATCTACGGCAACAGTACTCAAACAACCCCCTTCTCCACCCTCCAGGACAGACGGGAAACTGCAGCAAAAACTCTGCTCAAGCAAATGCGGCATGTCAGCCACACTTTGCATTCTTTGATGCCCTGCGAAACCACATCTCCATACCAAAGTTCAGAACTGAAAGACTGAGGAAATCTTTTCTGTGTCAGGCAATAAGCCTCAGCAATCAAGATTTGTAAATAGTCCGCCTCTGTTTTAATGGACCTGACCTACAAAATTTTAAATCTATTTAATTTTAATCGTCAATGTTGTGCTTTTTAATCTGTATCTCTTTCAAGCTATTTTAACATGTAATCACTTGTGCAATTCAGCCAAGCAATGAATATTGGCTGCCAATCAATGTGAATAAAACAGTTTCAGTCTCAGTTTCAGTTTATAAATTAATACAAAAGTCAACAACAGAAAATTCAGCTTCCCGGGAAGTAAACATCTGTATTTGTAAATCAACTTATATATGCGGTAGCAAAATTTCACGGAACTGTCACAGAAAGACACTCCTGGTCCCGGGTCGGGGATCGAACCCACACCAAACCTGAGCACCAGTTCACAAACCCAACGCTCCTACCAAATCGGCTAAAAGGTCTAGACACATCGGCCGGGTCAGTTGGTAGCACCTATATAAACCCCCACTGTTACAGAAATATATGTTTCGGTAGAGGCAGGTGCTGAAGAAAGTCAGTGAATTATTCGTTCACAGTACAGAAGTGACAGTGAAAACCGTGAATACTCCCATGCAAGTAGTGTCAACATTACTCTGGAAAGACAGATGGAGTAACAGCTCAGGCAACCAAAACAAATTCCATACCAAGGTAGGTGAAAGCTGGGGCTGGGATCAACTTCATCATGGCTTTACAAAACATGTGTAAACATGTGCCACATATCATTCCTTAAGCTGCTTGGCTACCAAAACACAGGTTTGCAAATTTCAATTGAATTTTAGTGGTAAATTCAGATGAAGCAAACATAAACAAATTTGTCAAATGTGGGGAGGGGGGCGCTGTTACTCGAAGACGTCAAATACGTTCCCGGCCACTAAACAAACTAATGACGGTGCTTTGGAAATAAGATTCAGTTCGTACACATATACAGTGTGTGCAAGAATTAGTCACAATACCTCAGTAACGTATATGGCGACGAAAATGGACGAAAACCATCAAATCGACATGGAAGCCGCCATGTTTGTTTAGAATGGTTGCTGTAAAGCGCCATCTAGTGACGGAATGCAGTATAGCAGGCAAGGGACCAGTTGAAGCTTTTACTACAGGGAAACTTGGACATTGAAATTGAAAGCATTTTTCAATGACAACGGCGCGAAGGATTTATAAAAGACATTTAGTAACGTTACACATTACATAAGACCACATAATAATTGTCCTATCTAGAACGCAGCAAAATTTATTTAAAGTAATTATGCAAATCATATTCTGATTTGCATCCATTATCAGCTAATTCTGTGAAGCATCACTCTTAGGCTACCTACATACTTTAGTCACAACTATCTAATAGTACCGCTTCTCGAGTTTTAACACCACTGCAGTTTCAGAACAAGCTAGGAGGGGCAGTTTCAGAACAAGCTAGGAGGAGGGGCAGTTTCAGAGAACAAGCTAGGAGGGGCAGTTTCATAGCCTCTACCAGGCTCCGCGGAAAAATAGTAGAAATTGGCCGAAATAAAGGGATAGTATACCAGAGAAGATCCAGGGCCATAGAAGCTCCAATTAGCGATCCGCGGAGCCTGGTAGAGGCTAGCAGTTTCAGAGAACAAGCTAGGAGGGGCCAAACTCAGGTCACTTCTTCCCAAGCACTAGAGCTATATACCACCCAAAATTCGTGACCCTATCTTGACTAGATCACAACCACACATCAAAAGAAAACGGCTTCCACTGCAGTACCATAACTAGCCACTACTGAGACAATCTAATTGCAAGATCTCAAAAAGCCTACCCATACCTGCTGAAGTTAGTAAAAAAAAACACGACAGGTTTTTGATTCTTTATTGAAGTGTTCAGTGTACGTGTTGCTCAGGTTGTGTTTGAAATTTTCACAAAATTGCAACAATACCTTAGCACTAAACGTTTATTTTTACAACAGTTTTACAAAAGTAGAACAATACCTTAGCACTAAAAGTTTATTTTTACTACCGGTACAGTTTTACAAAATTACACTACCTTACCACTAAAAGTTTATTTTCACAACAGTTTTACAAAATTGCAACAATACCTTAGCACTAAAAGTTCATTTTTACTAACGGTACAGTTTTACAAAATTAGGCCATGTTGATTTGATTATATGGATGACATCCGCGCGCGCATGAATTTTCACCCGTTTCAAAAAAAAAAAAAGTTTTCAACCATAC